CAGACCCACCAAGAGCAGCGCCTGCCTCTGGCGCTGCGATCGGTGCGCCCTCAGGCCATAGGGGCAGACCCACAAAGAGCAGCCTCACCGCGAGCTGCTGGGAAGCGTCGACGGGCTGGAAGCGTCTGGACGTGTCCGTGTCCGGAAAGAGACCTTTGTTCAATCAAACACCCCAAAGAATCAAGCAAGAAAAACTAATGAACACTGAACGACTGCACACGAGCAGCATTGTTTTTACTACTATACCATTGTTTTACAAAATATAGAAGACGACAAATCACCCAGGTGGCCACCATGTGCCGGTGCCTGAGATCCATGACCAGCTAGTGGAGCTGCAGTTTGGAATTGGTTTGGAATTGGTTTGGAATTCCCCAAACGCAGCTCGACGGGACGTGGCGCGTCGAAAAAAAGGTGTCAAAACCTTCTGCCCAAGCAACAAAAAGGCCAGAAAAAAAAGAAAAAAAAGTCCGATGAGTCCAGTGACTCTTGTTTTCTTCGGTTTGGTTTCTGCCCTCGGGCGTTCTTTTTTTTCCTATGTGTTTTCCCCCGGTAAGTACCATGATGTCCTTCCACGGATCGGTGTGGAATGGTGTCAGACCAAGGTGAGCCCAGGCTACTGCGGACGCTGGCACCAGTGGTGCGGGACCACTCATTCAAAGGAAAGAGCGCAGTTCTTTGCAACTACTACACCCCAAGCAATTCCCGAATCAAATCCTGCCACTCCTGCGTGAGCGTGCCTCCTTTTTGGTTGCGTTCTACATGGACATGTCCTTCAGAACCAAACCAGGTTTTGCACACCACCCGGCGCGTCCAATCTCACACCCGGCCTCCGCCGACCGCCCAAAGGCTCCGAATCCTTGTAACCCACCAGCACGCCACCCTGCCGAAGCCGCATCGTGTGCGGCCGAGTCGGTCGAGTCGGTCGGCACAGGTCGGAGGATGAACGGCTTCAAAAACCCAATGTTGCAAGTCCAGGATATGCAAAATCTCCAATTCAAAACATGGCACACTTGGACCATGTTTTGCACTTTGGACGCGGTTGCCTGATTTCTCACCAAGCGCCCCTCGTGCAGGAAGCTTGCGTTGCACTTCCGCGCTACTGCCTCAGCACATTCCCAGTCACGTGAGAAGTCGTTCTGATTGTAAGGTGAGGCCAAACCTGCCTTTCGACCGAACGTCTTTCTGCCAGAATGGATTTGGAAGAAAGAATTCTTCAAGAGAATCTATTTACTACCACAGTTACAGTAGTCAAGACCAAGAGCCAAGCACCAGTACAAGGCAGAAATTTGGATAGGCTGCAAAAGTGTGGAGGAGAACGTACTTCTGCTGCACCAGGTGTGTACTTCTTTGACCACCTCGTTTGAACCATTTCACCTGCATTCCACTTTTTCGTGATGAACAAAACCGGGTGCGGAAGACCCCAACCTGCCGAGCTTGAGCGCTGAGTCCTCATCTCAGGCGCCGACGGTGCGTACGTCCAGCATCGATGCCTCGTGCCGGGAACGGCGTGGGTTCATGATCGAGGGGTTTTGCGACGTCAACTGAGTCCCAAGGAGCAATCCAAAATCATTCTATGAGTATATCAGATCAGTATATCCCATGACCAGTGACAGTGGATGATGATGGCTTGTATCAAGGCCTTATACTCTAAAATTGTGATTTGCTTGTTTACCGACTGTTACAGGTAATGGGACAAACCCAAATTCTATGTATATGTGCCAAATTCTACGGCAGAAACAATTACCAGACGCCAGCGTAACCTGCAAACAAAAAGTGTAGGCAACTTCTGAATCATACTGCAGCCCAAGAAGCTGTGCTCGGCACTGTGACATGTACCTGTGCTTCTGCTCGGCTGGTGGCATCTTCAGTCTATCATACCGATACCCTTGATGTGTCCTCTGTGTTTCCACCAACGCTGGAGTCCAACTGTCTTGCCACGAGTATGAAAATGAGTGGGCAAAAAAGAGCGACCGCGCCGCAAGACCCATTCAGTACTTCGTGCGGAAGTTCTCACAAATCGCCCTCTTCCCACGTTCTCCCCCCCGACCCAGTCCTTTTTGGAAGGCGTCCAAACTCCTCAACCTCCGTGCTTCTTCCGCGTTCCGTGAAACCGTGGCCGCCGGCCTCCTCTTTGGTGTCGCCGCCGGCGCGCCGGACCCGCACTTGCACCTCCTTAGGCGCCTCTGCGACCACCTGAAAACAAGACCATGGTGGATCGGTTGATGGTCGGTGCTTGAGGAGTCAGATTTGCTTGGGCTTCGGGGGCTTCGGGATCCAAGCGAAAGGGGCTCAAAAGACCTCAGACTATGGTGGCTCAACCCATGAAAATTCTTTCTGTTCCTAGCCATCTTCACTGAAAATGTAAAGGTTTGACCCGCACTGGGTTCCTCGTGCACCATCATTGGAGGGGAAGAAGGGTTGGACAATTTCGCAGAATTCACGGCCCGGGATAGTAACAATATAATGGTTAGTAGAATTGTTGGTGGTAATTCGTGCTAGTAACTGGAGCGGCTATGACACTGGAAGTTGAAGGAACACGTATTTAATCGCCAAAACATATCAAAATTCAGGTCATTGTGTTTCTCCCATTTTTCACGTCTGTCGTCCTTTTCCATGCGCACGGCCAGCCATCCAAGCAAATCGCACCTTGGCACCCACTGCAGGTTCGCCCCCCGTAGAGGAGATCGTTCAGCATGTTGCCCATCTGCTGGAACTCCTGGTGCGGAGATGCCCACTGACGTAAAACCAGAAGACCGAAACCACAACATGACGGGTCCAACATTCTTTCGAGAAACTCATATTGATCTGGGAAAAGGCACAACAAAATCACAGATGTGTCATTTTTTTGGCAAACAAACCTACTTTTTCAGGTGCCAACATGTTCATCTTTTAACCATACTTCATTGCCCTCCACATGCCCCACGGACCCTCCAGCTCTCCTATACCTTGGAAGCACAAAATATACAGTTTGCCTCTCTGAACCACAGCTGTTTCACCACAGTTGACTACTTACATACTGAAAAAATTGGACTCACACTAAAATGCATTTGTAGGGGTGACACCAAAAACCATCCCATGAGCTCAGCAAACCGTTACCACTTGCGGGGGTTTTAACCTCGCAAGCGGTGGCACTGAATATTCCTTTTCCCATGCCAAGACCTAAACATCCCACAAACCTAATTCACATGCTCCCAATAAAACCCCTCCTCTGGTAAAAAACAGCGGTGGCTTGCGCTTGGCCTTAAACTGAGGGATGCCCTTTCATCAAGGGTGTCCTTCTCATTTTCCTGCCGTTTCTTACCCTCCAGCATTGTGTCAATCGCTTCCTCCGCCTTTGCCACTCCAATTTTACGTTCTGCCTTTGTGTCAAAAGCATCATGCTGGATCGCCCCTTCCTTCATACTTTCTGTGTTGAGGATTTCCTCCTCCTGTGCGCAATCTTTTTGTTCTTCTGCCCTTTTGTCAAGGGCGTCCTTCTCCTCAGCCTTTGGGTCTGCGGCGTCCTTGCTCCCTCTTGCCCCCTTGTCAAGGGTGTCCTCCTGCTCTTCCTTGATTTTGCTTTGCTTTGTTCTTTGGTGAAGCTTACTTTTTTCCTCCTCTTCCTTCTTTAGGGCAACTTCCGCCGCCTCTCTGGCCAGAGCTTGCTGCCTCCTCCTCTCTCTCCTGGCATGGCTCACTGTCCCAGCTCCACTGGGCCTACGTTTGTTGTTGAAGGCCTTCCATTGGCCCCATTTGCTCCAATCAGCCATACCCTTTTCCGAGGCTAGCAGCTAGTAGTGGATTGCTTGAACTTGAAAAAGGCTGCGTGCGCGCAAGGCTTGGCCTCAGCCCTCAGTGCAAAAATGGGGAGAAGCAAGCAGAAGCATGCAGAAGACAGCCAGAACGGAAAAAACAAGCAACAAACAATAGCAAGAGCAAGGAACAAACAACCAACCAAACACCACCGCCCCCACCACACCCTACACCCGTTCAGGTCTTTGCTGGTGCGTTTGGCTGGAGCTTTACCTCTGATGTTGCGAGGCCAGCTGTACATGCCTCTTACTGCCATATGGCCAGTAAGGCCTGCAGCCGTTTGATTAAGAAATTGTGCTTTTCGTTGTCACTATTGCGTTGCACAAACCTTCCCTCATTTGCAAATGCTCTTCCAAGTCAATTTTTTCCAAGGAGCATTCGCCGAGTCCTCGTCAGACCTTCTTCTCTTGCCGACTGAACAATCAGGTAGAGCTGAACATGAGAGACAATTTCTCTGATGTCCTCACAAATATGCTCCTGACGATTTGCTAATAGTCTTCCTGGCGGCTGCCCCAAAGGCATCACCACCCTCACTTCTTCTGGGCTACAGCTTTTGGCAAGCTGCCTTCTGCGTGGCCATAGATTTTGATCGAAATACTCAGCTGGGCATGGACCTAGGTAAGCTTTGTCTTGACGAAGGAGATACCCCTGTCCTCTCCTCAAAGCTCTTGAGGCCCGCCCCTTTTGCAAGGGGTCCTCTTCTATATTTCATCCCTTTGTCAAGGGGCTGTCTGTAGGCTTTGCATCTTCCTAGTTCTGCTAAGGGGCACTCCTTGAAAGGGCTTTGAAAAGCATGCACAGCCCAACGGATTCACTCACTTCTTTTTAAAGTTGGCCCTTCTTCTTGGGCATCTTCCTTGGCAAGGCTGCCACTTGAGGCAACATGCTGGGAGGCACGCTGCTTTCTTCGGGTCGTGTCCACCACTTGCTTGAGCAGCATACATTCCTTGCTCCCCACACTGGTGGCACAAGATCTGAAGTCTTCCTGATTCTTGAGCCTCCTCACATGAACGAGTATGACATTTCTTCTTTTCACTTCAAACACACCCAAACACCTCCAATTGACTTGGCGGTGTTGATTGTGGGCTCCTGTGGCAGGAGCTCCACCATAGCAAACCTGAGGGAGCCATTTTACATTCTACCAAGCTCGTCTATAACCCAGCAAGACTACATAATCAGTTATCTAAGTTATCTACCTCTACCATCCTCTACCAAAAAATACAACTCATTTCGACGTGCGAAATCTCCGCCTTCCCATCATATCCCACCTCGGTCGAGTGGATCTCTGGCTGATCAAATTGCGAGAGCATCTCAAAGACTCCACGCTCGGTGCCCTCCAAGCCATACCTGCTACGGACGCCCTTGGATCCCCGCTAGGTGCCAAACACTTCGGCGGGGAGGGATTTCTCGGTGTTGGCCAATCGATCAAGGTCAAGTTCCACCGCACCCTATAGTACATGACGACCCTTACTTTCGAGGAATCCCCACCTACTGTTGAAGTGCTTGCCTGCACACCAGGCTTGGGATGATCCAGTAGGTATCCTGATCTTGAGTTTCGTACCAGTTAACCAGTGGCCCAGTGACCCAGTGGTTTGAAGGACAAACCAAACCCAGATCAAAACCTAGAGGGGCCTGAAATTTATCAGCATCGCACGACAGCATCGCATGCGCACGACCTAAACGCGCAGCACGCCTCGGCAGCACCGCACTCTGCACCGTCAAGAAGAGCTTCTGCCGCTCGGCGCGGTACTTCCTGGTGTGAACTCCATATCTGCCGAGCCAGTTCGTCGCGGAGTTCGTTTGTCATCTGCCGATCGATGAAACCGGAGGCGGAGATCAAAGTTGGGGAAAGGGACCAGTTGCATACTCCATAGAAGTAGCGTGCAAGTGCACCAAACTGATAATAAGTGTATATATACGTGGTATGTATAGGTTGAGTCTACCTATAGTTCCTTTCCTATCTGGCTGTTCACAGGAGGAGGTTAGCAGAATCTAAGAAGCCGTGAAACTGGAGGAAGTACATCTGATAATCCATCATGCTTGCGGACTTATGCCGAAGAATGATCGATTTGGAATCAACGACGGGTGTTCAACCGAAGAGCGCAGGGCAAAGCCTCGGATCTTGAGGAGTTTGATCTGTTTGATCCAGATTGGAATGGTCATATCTCGTCTGGTGAAGTTTGTCTCAGGTGGAGTGACTGACAAGTCCAGTCCATGGGAAGATCAACGGCGCTGCGGGTGAAAACCTGAGTCGGAGGCCTCGACTCCATGGTCGGCTTCTGTTGCCACAACTTCTTGAGACGTTCGCGAAAGAGAGGGGAAGAGAAGCCCTCATAGAGCTCCTCCGCAATGCGAGGAGCGAGGGGCCAAGGGGCGCAGGGGCCAATGCCAACGCCTTTTGGGGCTGCATGGACCGGAGATCAAGTCCAAACAAGGTTCAAAAACCCTTCCGCATGGCCGAGCTCACCCAAAAACAGGTGGAACACGATGGAAGCTGCCCAGAATCGCCCCAGTCCTTCTGCAGCGCCACTGCCTGCTGCGGCGTCAGCTTCGCCATGGCCAGGCGCGGCGACAACGGCTTGCGCAGCCGCTTGGAGCCTGGGCGTTGTCACGTCGGCGTCGGGCCGGTTGGGAGGAAAGTAGCTGAGGCCGAATGTTTCAACCTGAAGGAGGCTGAATCGGAGAATCAAGAATCGAGTATTGAATGTCGTTGAATACAGGTTCTATGTGGTTCTATATATATTCATGTTCTTGCTTGTTCTTGTGGGCATGGAGGGACGAGGTGGTGAGGATGAAAGCTTCAAAACTGTCAAAGGTGATCATTGCCCTCCTGGAAGAAACTATCTCCAAACCTTCAGAGGGCTCGGAACGTGTGTTCCTTCTGCCAGGTGGGGGCCATGTTGGTTTTGGGGTCCAAGACTTGGAAAGTCAAGTGAAAAGTGAAAACCAACTCTGCACACGACTGAGCACGTGACGTTCGTCTGGTCGCAGAAGATTCTGAACTCCAATGACTAGAAGGCTCCTCGATTTCGACCAGAATCAGTTGATATCATTTTCCTAAGCAACCACCCCATTATTTGGGGCTATAGCGACTTTTGGACAATATACAAGTCCCTCCCGATGGGATGAGGTGACCCAAACAGAAACCCGGCAGTCCTGCGCTTCCCCAACCTGCAAGCCGCTCGCATCGGCTCGCTCGATCGGTCCCCACCAGGTGGGGAGGTCGATACGGTGCCAACCCCGTGTCGCCGACCGGGTGTGACGACATGAAGACATGGATCATCAAGACAAACCCGAGACTCTCCGAGACTTCCTGAGGACGGAGACATGGGAGAGTGAAGATGGAGTGGCAAAACAAAACATGGATCGTGGATCATCGAGACTTGTTGAGACGACATGGGAGATTGAAGACTGAACAAAACAAAACATGGGATCCGTCTTCCATCACCCGGCACATGATCCATCTCCTCCACTATTGGAGGCCAAGCCGGTCTGCAGCCTCTGGAGACTGCCAATTTTGGGGTGTCCCACCGTCTCAACCCGTTCAACGCCGTTCGGGGTCACACCTCTCGGACTCCATGAAGGAGCTGAAGGCGCCGCTCTCGCCCACGCGCCGCACGAAGCGGCAGGTCTGCAACACCTGGGGATCTTCCAACCTCGGCTCGGCAAGATTCGTCCACATGGAGGCGACGGAGGGAGGGACCTTGGCTTCCTCCGGGGTTTCAAAAAAGAAACAGAACCAGCACAGAACAGATTGCAGATCTTTTTGGTTGCCAAGATCGAAGGAAAGGGCAGCCTTCGAAGGGTGCTAAATCAACTCTGAATCATTTGGTTACAAGAACTCTTTGCCAGCCACTTCAATCCTGATGTTCCACTGAGTGTCATAGAACTTGCGATGGCCTTCCCTAAGCTGTTAGGTTTCTTCTGCATACGTCCAAGTCCAAAGGCCAAGCTCATCTCGCCTCCTGCCAGAAACTCGCATGCTCATGGTTTGTGGATCCCAGTATTTCAGACGTGATGGTGAACCTGCGAACTTGTCCATCAGTCACCATTGAGTTCCCGACCCCAGGGCAAATCCTTTGGTCTCTCCTATTATGTCTTCAGGATCTTTTAGGTATGTCACAAGCTGAACCTCATGAAGACGCTGAAGCGGGCCCCCCCAAAAGCGACAGGATCTTCGGTGGAAAAAACAGAGACTCCGGAAGTGGGTGAGACATGGTGCCACACGTCTCGCCCCAAGGATCCCAGCTCGCTCCAGCGCTCGCTCCAGCGCTCGTCGTTCACCGGTCCCTTCCCGTTCAAGGGGATTGGGCTGTCCAGGAACTGGGGTTGGGGAAAAAGAAACAGAAACATCCAACGATCTTCTCAAGTTGGTGGGGATTCATCCATGGGGCATAGGGAGGAAGAAAAAGAAAGAAAGCAAGCAAAACCCAAGTAAGTCCACCCTCCGTCCAAGGAGCTGTTCTGCCAGGGCCTCCTTGAGCTGTCGAAAGGTGGCGTCCGTGCTCACCAACAGCTGCGCCTCCTCGTCCTGGCGAAACGTTTAATATAACGGTCCGCAAAGGTAACCGTGATGAAAGAACGTTATATATATGTATACCTTGAGATCTTATGGATCTGGGCCAAAAAGTTACTCATAGTTTCAGTGGGCAAGCCAAAGGTCATCTAAAAGCTACAGGTGGGAAAGTCTTTTCTTGAAGAACTACCACGAGCCATTCGGAGAAAAAATGGAAAACACGTCTCCCCTGCCATCCGATTCCCATATATTTCTATCCTCTGCAATCTGTCTTTCCTTCCATCATCATCTCAATCTTCAACGTTCAAACCCAGTTCGGACCCCCAAGCCGCTCCATCCCGGCGCACTGGATCGAGGATCGGCGATGATCGACCGTCCGTCCTGCAGATGTGGTTCATCCAGCGCATGGCGGATGGTGACCTCAATCTCCTTGGGCTCCACACGACGAGAGCCGGTCCTCAGTTCGGGGCCAGGTCGGGACGAAGTTGGAAGGCAGAAAGGCCAGAAAGCACACCGCTTCAACAGCCGCTTCGACAGCTGAAGACCGTTTGAGTCGTTGGTTCCGTCTTGGACCGAACTGACCCTGCCCAGACGGGGCAGTCGTTGACTGAGGCCAGGCGGCCCAGTCGGTTCTTCCGAGAAGAGCAGGTCGTTCAAGATGGCACCCAGGCGTTGGAAATCCTCATTGATTTGCAGGTCGGGTCGATCAAACTGCTGCATCATCTCAAAGACTCCTGGAAGGCACAGTGTCAATTGGCGCGAGTGGAGGGATGGGTGAGCTACGTTTCGTTTGAAAAGAACATCACAGTGCAGGACATTGATCCCCTTTAAGGCCCGGCACATCACAGGACTGCGCAGTTCCCACAATGGGAATGTACCCGGCCCTAGCGGTCGAAGCAGCAAGCATTGTTGCCATTGGCTTTGCTGCAAGCTCCGTGTCTTTAGTGGCCTGCTGGTGTGGCTCTTCCAGCGGGAAGCTCAGTACGGAAATCCTTTGGGATGTCGGATGTCGGTCTCAGCGTTGGTCAAAACCACCTCCCTCTTCGGTGAGCAGCTGTGAGCTGAGCACACCAATTTGCCATGTGATGTTGATTCCAGAAGATCTTCCATGTCCTTCTGCGGAATCTTTAGTGTCTCAAAAAGGGACCCAGACGGCTCCTGCTTACTGGTCTGGTTTCTTTTTTACCCAACGGCTCCTTTAGGGCTCCCCTCGAAGCCATGCTTTGGAAGGACCTCCTTCTGCACGCTCAAGAACCTCGAATCAGTCTCGAAGACAAACCCAAACAAACACATGAGACGGATATATAAAGCACCCCAAAACACCTGATCCGGGATCATTCGAATATCCAGGGACATGCATTCTCGAACATTCTCAAACACACATCCCCCAAGATGTTCCCCTGCTAGTTAGTGACTTAGGGAAAAAATATCCGGCCAAGCACATCCAAAAGGATCCTTTTCATGTGAGCCGAACCGCTCTGTTTTCTTGAGCCAAATGTGAACAGCGTTGTAGCTGTTGTTGGTTTCTTTTCATGAACATCTGGGAAGGTGACTTTTGGATTCACACTCCCCCTACGGCATTTTGCCGTACTTCAAGCCACCTGATCTTTGATCAGGAAAAAGCTAAAGCCGCACCATCGACCATGGACATTCGGCAGGGCGTCCTTTCGCCAGTCTGCGTCCACGTAATCAGCCGGTTGCCGAAAGGTCATCTTGGACAGGTCCAGCACCCAAGCCACCGTCACCCGCAGGTACTCCAGTGCCCTCAGATCCTTTGGAGTCGATCGGTGCTCCGGGTGGAATCTCTGAACCCGAAGGCTATGCCGGCGTGTCAACCATGTTGCTGATGGCAGGCGTAGGTAGTCCCATGCATCCGTACGAGGAATTGGTCGGAACTTCGTCGCCTCCTCATCCACCAGCAGCTGCACTTTGTCGAACAACAATTGGGTCCACCACACTGATGGCTGCAAGATCAACTGATCTTCCTCCGCACCATACGGAGGGACCAGCCGTGGAGCTTGGGGCCAATGTGGCCGCTCCCAAGGGTTTTCGTAGCCCCGGTGTGGATCTTCTCCAGGTTCAACCGGTGGGCGTGGCATCGCCATGTGTTTCGGTGTTTGAACCCACGGTGGTGCTTCATCCGGCCATGCAGATGCCAAAGACCTTGGGCACGATGAAGAACCCACAAAGCCCTTTGAAGCAGTCATACTTTTTGAAGAAGTCCCCATTGCCGCGGCACCACGTGCAGCAGCCTTTCCCCCACTCTCTTCAACCATGTAGGCGGGCGGCCTCTTCCACGAAGCACTCTCTCCCCCGGATCTGCAGTTGGCATTGATGTCCGGAGTATGTTGCACATACTTTGGCAAAACCGGTGGAGGTTTTACCGGCGGTTGCTGACCGATCGGAACTTCCTTCGGGAGGATCGGCGGAGCCTTCACTGAGGGAGAGGATGCCTCTCCTCCATGCTCTTCCCATGTCCTTGTCCCCGATGAAGAGGCAGTCGAGTTGCCAACCCCCTGGTTGCCGAAGAACCCAGTCTCGCCTCCGCCACCACTGAAGCGCAGCTGAATCTTGCCCCAAACGCCATGGCGCACGCTCGACGTTTCCAATTCTACACAGGAAGCCTCTAGGCTACCGTTGGGATCGAAATGTTCCGACCCTTCCGTGCGGCCCGACGCAAAAGATTCATTGGCCTCTTGTTCACTTTTGTTTTCTTGTTCTTTTCTTTGTTCTTTTGGTGACCCTTGGTCTTTTGTTCCCCTTGCCGAGGATCCACCTCGCAGGGCACACAATCGAGGTCGAACAGAACCCTTGGATTCTCCCCCATAGCTACAGCTGATTGACTGACCATGTGAAGTAGGAGGTTTCGAATCCCCCGGTCCTGAACCCCTCTTCCCTATCAGACGAGTGGCTTCAAAGGCTAAAGCTACCGCTAGCGAAGCTACTACTGCAATCTTGGTGACCGCATTGGGCCATTGATGACAAGCTGCACAGCTCGCCATGCACAAAGCTACCTTGGCCAGCCTCACACCTCCATCGTTCTCGGCCGTCAGGGCGTCGTCCTTCGTGGCAATGACATTTTCACCCAGGTCCACCATGTTGATGAACTGCCGGAACCTGTTCCAGGAACTTTTCACCGCAATCGCCTTGGTCAGGAAGTCCGCAATCAACTTCGATCCTTCAAGGTGGTAGATCTGCCACGTCCCTTTCTCTCAAGGCATAGGATCTCAACCTCAGGTGTCTTGTTCTCCACGGGCCGTCGGGTTGTTGGATGATGGCAATGGCGGCCTGACTGTCACCATATGTAACCACCGAAGGCAGCTCCCCCAGGCCCAATACTTCTCCAAGTAGAGCCTGCAAGCTGTCCCCCATCACCGAGGGTTCGATGTAGGCCAGAAGCTCAGCTTCAGCGGTGGAAAGGGCCATGCAACCCTGTCTTGATGACTCCCATTGCACAACTCCCCCTCCTACCATCCCCACGATGCCCTGGATACTTTTTTCTCCTTGAGGTGCATAGGAGACGTCACAGTAGATTTCGACCAGATTCATGCTGCGTTCACGAGCCAAGGCATCATCAGGTCCGCGATCTTTCTCTCTGCAGCGTCCATAGGCCAGGAAACAATCCGCTGTGGCGTTCAAATACTCCAGGATATAGTGCCCCGTCTGTGCTGCCCAGCGAGGATGTTTGGTGACCTCTCGACCCAGTGCCCCAATTGCATAGGATAGATCAGGCCTGCTTCTCACCGACATCCACAGGATCTCCCCGGCAATCGCTTGCGCCTGTCTCACATCCTCAATCTTGATCTCCTCCTCGACCTCCATCGCGGCGAGATGTTCCTTGGGCAACGGTGTGGATCTTTTTGTAGTGACTCCCCTTCTTCGGAGAAGGTCCTGGAGATAGGATGGTTGTCCCACCAAGATGTTCTCCTCCTGGATCTTCATCTCGAAGCCACAAAACCTGACCCAATCTTCTTTGTTCACCTTTTCCGGCTTGGACGTTTTCCATTCTTGTTGAATGCGTGAGACCAAACCATCATGACCTTTCCACGCGCCCATCACCAAAAGGTCATCGACATATACCAGCATCAGTCCCACGGGCCTCTTGTCACCCTCCTTCACAAAGCGCCATAGGTTCCTTCCTTTTGTGGGCTGCAACATGAACTTCTCCCCCTGACATTCCCATTCGAATGTAGAGAAGCGCTCATCCCGATGTAGTGCCCAATGGCTTGGAGAGGTTTGGAACCCGTAGAGCGCCTTTTTGACCACCCACACTTCATTGTCCGGGCATATGCCCAGTTGGGACATCAAACGCGGCGGAACCACCGCAACTGGATTTGCACCCGGAGCCACTGGCCTTGGGGCCTGTAAGAAAGCACTTTTGACATCAAGCGCTGACACCTGCCACCCTTCATGTGCTGCTTGACGAACGGCACAACGGATCAATGTTCCATCAGCACCGGAGGCATAGCTTCCTGCTGGTCCCCACGACGGGGCTGCCGTTGGAGAGGCCATATTTCCGCATATAACAGCACGAGCCCGATGTTGTCCAGATCCTCCCTTACGCACGCATACCATTTTGCCAGGGATCAATTCTGTTCCTTCTGGAAGTTCTTCACGGGGCAATGGATGTACAGCTTGGGTGTCATGCACAAGGACATTGTATTCATATTGAAAGGCAGGAATCCAGTCTTGAGGGTGGTCACGGACTTCATGCAAAGGTACCGTGATGGTCTGCAGAATGTCCGGCTCTTGTGCTTGGAGGCTACACAGATGCACTCGAGTGTCCCTTTCCACTCGGCCCAACCTGATCAAATTGTCCTCCAGGTCATCTCTCCAATCCACAAACCATTCCACCTCCAATCCCGACTGCGCTCCCTGTGTGGCATTTCTTGGAACATCATCCACCAAATTGGACAGTTGTTTTTGCAGCATCCTATGTTGCCACTATGTGTCCTTCACCTGGTCCATGTCTAACCATCGCCCCTGGTCTCCCATCTCCTGCTCCACGGTCCTTCCAGCGGGTTCTACCTTCATAGCACGAACTCCTGCGGCCGAGGCTGCTGTTGAAGATCTTGGGAACTTCTCCGGCGAATCTTTCCATAGCTCCGAAGTTGATGTACTCGGCCTCAAAATTGTCGACGATGAAGAATACTCCCCCCCCCGCTGGCAAAGGAACCGTACCCTTGTTCGGGGCCCCCTTCAAGCATGGAGTATCTCCCAACGGCTGTTTGCCTGTCATTCGTCGATGTGGTTGTCCAGGTCGGTCATCTTCTTCCAGGCGTAGTTGAACCACTTCACCACGCGGTCCTTGTTGGATTCGAAGCTGTTCTCCTTCTTCATTCGTCTGCACCGCTTCTCGTACATGTAGTACACGATCATCTTTGAGCTGTACCACCCATCCACCATTTACTAAGTGGCTGGGACATAGGATCACCGCCTCCGCGAACGGTGCCACCAATCCTCCACCCTTGTGCCATTTCTTCACCTTGACCAACACCCTTCCCCTGTAAGGCAGCATCGGAAGGCAAGGCACCCCTAAAGCTTCCAGTTGTTTATATCTTCGCTCCATGGCTGCATATCTGAAGGCGTCCGGCCATGACGTCACGTCACATTCTTTCTCCGCCAGACGCAATCGAACCTTCCTTTTGAGTTGATGTACTTCAGATTCTGCATGTCCATTGGAGGCTGGATCATCCCCTGCTGTTGTGGTAGGAACAATGCCATTTCGAGCGCACCACGCCGTCATCGGCTTCGATATCAGCTCCTTGGCCCTGTCGGAGTGCAGCCGGTTGATGTAGATCCCCATTGCCTTGAAACCTGCCAATGCCTTCTGCATAGCTGTCACCACTTCATCTTGGGCTCTTGAGGCGATGGGCTCCACGTGCACCACATGTTTCACCGGCGCGCTTTTGAGGCTTTCCTCCAACTCCTTGTGAAATTGTTCCTCCTCCGGAGTTTCCTCCTTTTCTAAGTCCACCTCCCCCGGTTCTTCATCTTCCCGTGGATGTGGTCCTTTTTCCGGTTGTTCTCGCTCCTCAGTTCTGCCCTCTTCGTGCTCCAGAGCCTCTTGATCGTCCATGGTCTCCTTCTTGTCCTGGCCAAAGTCCGGAACCAGTGCCACCGCCACCAGGGCATACTTCATGTAGTGACTTGTGGCCAGATCCTTCGCTCGAGGTAGAGGTCCCACGATATCCACCGACATGGACCATGAGGATGTCATAGTTTGTCCTTCCTTCCTTCTTCTGTGTGGTCGCTGTGCCCCCCATTTGTTCGACGCATAAGCGACAGTCACGTCGGAAAGGTGTGTGTCCTTGTCGGAAATGTTGGGCCCATAGTTCCTTTTCTCCCTCCCTGTGAGCGCCTTGGCAATCCGAGGAGCTTGCTGTAGCAACTTGGCCATGTAGATCTTGAGAGAAGCCCATACTGCTGCTCGAAAACCTGGAGCCCATAGTGCCCATGACCTTGACTGTTCAATTCTTTCACTCAAATTGTCGGCCAGGGGTTCATCTTGTCCCGTAGGGCTTCTAAGCTCTTGCAACTCAAGCATGTTGGGCAAGTTTGTGAGGATACTTGTAGGTTTCTTTCGACAGTGTCCCATAGGACGTTGATCAAAATTGATCACATTCATTCCTGCTTCAGATGCCAAATCCTGAAGTTCTTCCCAGCTCCAAAATGACGGCATCATGCTTCCCAATTTGTTCTTTCCCGGGTCCTCCGGACTTTCCAACAGGAACCCCGTCGGTTCTTCTCCCAAGCCATGACGTAGTCGAGCTTCCTCCGCCATGTAGAAGATACCCAGTTGTTTCAACACCAGGGCCGTGTCATGGTCTGCCAGCCGCTGCTCCCCTGCGCTTAGATGAGGTAATCCAAAACGTCCTTCTCCGCGATCACGTAGTGGCCTCGGTCCTGGTCTCTTGAACCTCATGCGGGAAACAGTACGGCAAGGCGGTCCTCCCACCACACATTTGATGGCCCCTTTTCTGGCCAATTCCGTCAAGAAGCCCCATAGTTTTGGTCCATGTACATCTTGGTCTTTTCCCTTTGTGATGTCCAAGGTGATCACATCCCAACCATGAGCTTCCAGTTCTTTCCATTCCTCCGCCTTCTCCCCCGCGTAGAGGTGAAGTAGGATCTTCTTCGACTGTTGCAGCCGCCGTCGTACACTTCTGTTCCACGGCAATGGACTTGATGAGTTGTCTGGAGTTTCCGACATGTAGCGAAACACTCGGGTAGGAACTTGAGGAAAGCGCTTTTGCCACCACATCATGATGTCCCCGTCCAGATTCTCCTCCTGATTCAAGTCCTCAACTTTCTTTCGCTCAGCCAACTCAATGTCCGCAATGAGGGCCAGGGCATCCTCCTCCGCCACCACGGGACAACCATCCCGTAGCCACGACGCGATCTTTCCTCGCCGGGGATGCACCACCACACAACCATTGCGGCTCCATTGTAGTTTGTAGCCCAGCTCAATCAAACCTCTCACCGGGACGATAGGTTCAATGTGCCCCTCCACCAAAATAGTTCCAGTCACCGGATGTTGTCGAAGCCACACTCGTCCATGGGCCAGATCAACCGGGACCTCCTCCGCCTCTTCGATTTCCTGGCGAGAACCTTTTCGAAGTGGATGGGTTGCTCCTCCGTCCAATAGGCCAACCTTGCCCATCATTCCTTCATCTTCCATAGACAAAGGCCCCAACGATTTGCACCGCACCGCCATGAGTCGAGCTCTTTGGAGGGACTTCAACAAAGCCGATGCCTCCTCCGCCAGACCGCCCACGGAAATTGTTGCTTCTTCACCTTGGGGTGCACCTCCACTAGGTTTTCCTTTTCCCCCAGCAGGCACATCCTCCACCGATGTTCTTGTCCCGGATGAAGTGGAAACATTGGCCTCCTCTCCTCCAGCACCACCAACGTCCGATTTCTCCGGACTGCCACCCGAGCTTCCCCCTTTGACCTTCGCCACCTTGACTGTCTCCTCCCCCTTTCCCTCTTTCTTCAGGAATGGGCACGACGTCTTGCTATGGTTCAGGCCTGAGCAGTTGAAGCACCGATTTTCTTTTGGACTCAACCTGCAATGCTTGAATTTGCAACGGTCCCCACGCCGACACCCCTTTTCGGTCATCCAAAACCTGCAGGTATCTTTGTCTCCGGCACCGCCTTCCCGAAGTTCACCACCAGCTGTTCCCGTCGAGGTCATAGTCGAAGTCCCCGATGTAGGTTGAACTGCCACTGCTTTCAGTGAGAGTCCCTTCCCTCCACCATTGTTCATGCCCGTCGACATCTCCTCGGCTTCGGCCTGTAAGTGCTCCGCGAAGATCTTGACATTTTCAAGGGTCGGACGAGTGTCCACCAACAACTGCTGCCGACTGGTTGCCAATCGGTATGCAACTTGCGCTCCCGACTTTGCCAAATGGTCTGAAGCTTTCACCAACACCCCTGCCAATACCACAGGGTCCGGAAGCATCACTCCCAGCTCTTCTGAACGGCTCCACCATCTCCTCCACGTGCGGATGCCCTGGGCGACCTCCAGCATGTTGTTGGTCAACTTGAGCTCCGTCAAATTTCGGATTAGGTTCATCCGCTCACTTTGTCCTCCAGGTTGAAATTTCACATAGAGGATGAACAACACCTGAGCTACCGTCATCTTCCGAGTCGTGACGACCTCATTTTTGACGTTCTCAGGCACCACCTGCAACAACAGGCTCAACATTTTGCGCTCCGTGCGAGGCCATTTGTTCGCCTCCTCCAAGCAGACAGGACCCAGACGAAGTCGTTGGAGCGGATCCGCCGTTAGCCATTCCTCATAGGCCTTGGACACGCTCTTCAAGGTCAGCTGCCACCATTGACTAGCTCCCGGGCTGATCTCCGACACAATCGGCTCCAGCGTGGTGAGCCAATCTCCAAACGCCAGCGATGTTGCTTCGAGGCCCAACACCGGCAATTCCACTGACCGGGTTTGATCACCCAGTGATTCCTCTGGAGCCACCCATGCATTTGGCGATGTAGATGGACCAGAACCTCCATTCGGAAAAAATGCCGCACACTCCATTCCCCCAAGGAAGTTGTCCAGGTAAACCGGGAGGATAGGGCCATGGGTAAGCCACAGGTGTTGCACCCGGAGCCATTGGTCCCACATTCACGATCGGCGCCGTCACCGATTTCGTAGCTTGCCCATCTCCCCCACCTTGAACTTTGCTGCAGGGGCCTCCACTGCGGACTGGAAAGACGAGTTCGAGCTCGGCTGACCCAACTTTTGTACTTCTTCTTGAAACCTGACCTCCGCTTCTTGTAGACATTTTGCACGAAGTAGTTCCACGGGATCAGGTACTCCACGACTGCCTTGGGCTTGGTCATGTAGTTCACGAAGTTTCTCAGCTGTCCATGGATTCACCGGCGAACTCTTCACCGAACCCTTCAGATCTTCACCAACCCCGCGTGCTGGTGGATGATCTTGCGGTGCACTAGGCACCTGTTCGGCTTCCATAGATGCCCCCATCATAGGTCCACCCGCTTCACGTTGCCCTGGCAAGATCGGCATTTGTGATTGGCTTCCTCTCTCTCCCCACATTTTAGGCAAAGGCATTCCCAAGCCAGCCAGCATTCCCCAGGCTTGCTCCTGGACCGGCTGCAGCAAGCTCGGCGCCCCACCACCACCTTCATGCCCTCCGACTTGTCCGCCAACATGGTGTCCAGGTACAGGAGGAGGTAGTGAGCCTGTAGGCAAAGGAGGAACCACCGGCAAGAAGCTCATTGGCGGTCCTTGAGGTTGTCTAGGGACTTCACGTTCTTGGTCTTCAATGGCTTGCGCACCTGCGTGCGTCGCTCTCTCCCTCGAAGCTCCCGCAGCCAGCGAAGATGATGTCTTCCGTAGGGCTGGGGTCAGCAGCCTGCTAGGCTCCAGACTTTGAGCTCTTCGGGGTGGTTCCTTCTGCTTCTGGGACTCTTCGAGCAGCGCATCCAAGCGTTCATCTGCTGTATAGGCTCTCTAGCCTTCGAGCTCGCTCTTCTTCGGCGAAGATCCATGGCGGCCAACAACTGCCTTCAGGCAGGTGGACTTCTTGGGCTCATAACCCATGTGAGCCGAACCGCTCTGTTTTCTTGAGCCAAATGTGAACAGCGTTGTAGCTGTTGTTGGTTTCTTTTCATGAACATCTGGGAAGGTGACTTTTGGATTCACACTTTTAAACAAATTCACCTCTCCAGGGAACAATTTCTGCCTTTCGACGCTGAACTTCCGCGGATCCGAGTGCTTCAGCGTCTTCTCCAGCTCTTTGCGCTTCGCTTGCCACGTGGGGTCCGCGAAGCCTTGCCGTAAGTCCTGTCAGGCTAAGGGATGACAGAACCATGGCTGAAAGAAAGACAAACTCCGAAAGGCTTATCCAAGGGATGTGCTACATGTCCATTAGGATCATTAGGATCAGCCGATTATCTTTGTTGGAGGATAGCAACTTTCCCTGGAAACAGAATGATGTCCACATGTTAACACCGGGCTGACTGCTCTCTCCTTGCTTGAAAATTGCCTCGACTCAAACTACCTTTCCCTTTTGCAACCCATCTTCCAGTCAGTCTATTGTCAAACGTTCAGTCAGCCGGCGGACCAGTCCCCGGTCACCCGTCCCCGCTCGCGCCACCTCTTGCAGCGCCACCGCCTGCGCGGGCGTCAGCCGGTGCGGCTCGGCTGCCTTCCGCGGCTTCCGCGCGGCCCGCGGAGGTCTCGGCTCCGCCCGCGGCGGCGTACGCTCGACGGTCTGGGCCTGGCAAACACGCCACGAGGCGTTCGGGCCGAACGCGCCGAACGCGCCGAAACCGGAGGAGTCGGCCAAACAAGGTAGTGATGGTGGACGGAAAGTGGTGGAAACGATGGATGCAAGTGCATCTTCAGCTCCATGATTGTTTAAGGGGGCACCAGAATAGTCAAGGTTGAGTGGGCCTTTACTAATCTACCAAGCCTGCCGACTGGCGGGTTTCTAGTCCAACACAGAAGTGGAGGCATTTCGGAGGGTATGTGGCCGAACTTACCATAAGCGGGGAGCAAAAAGGATAGAGTTTGTAGATTTGTCCCATCACCGACGGAGGTGCCAACGCCACGGAGGTGCCTGCAGAAACTCTTTGGCGTTGTTCAAGCCGCCGGGCAAATCCTCTGGGAAAAGGAGGTAGTTCAGAGTAGCGCCCTGGCTGTGCATGAAGGACTGCAGGACTGCTGCGCCAGCATTTGGGTCTATTGGCATGTGTCCCTCCGGTCGACTGAATTCCGATTTGGCAATTAAGTTACATATAAGCCTAATATTGCCAATTTAAAGCACCATCTTTCGCACCCCCATCTATGTCACGAGTGAATGTGTAGAACATCTGGGCTCAGACTGTGATCATCCAACACAAAGTCGCAAACTCCTGGCACAACTGTCTTCGATCGAACGGTCGCCGCCTGCTCCATGAAGGTCGGATTGGAAGCAAACTCGGGGCGATCGAACTGCACCAGCATGTCGAAGACACCCTGAGAAAGAGAAAAAGTCATGTCACACGAGAACGTCCACTGACCATCACTGACCCCTTCTTGCCAAGCGGAACATCACCCCGCGGAAAGATCTGGAAAGGCCATATGAGTTACTGTACAGAATTTTGTTCGTTTACCAACAGGGCTTTTTCGGAAAGCCCCGTGGTGAATGAGAGTGTGAATGAGATGTTCAAAAAAAGACGACGACAACAACAACAACAACAAGGCCCGGCCCGGCCCCGCCGCGCCGCCGGCGTTCGTGCACGGCCTTGGGGCCTGCCTCAAAGCCATATCTGGGTAACACAATTTTCCTCAGTGAAGGTCGGGTTGAATCTTGAAAGGCAACATCGCCCGGCAGCACATCGACCAAAAAGATCCGTTGCAGCAACAAAACAACACCGTTCATTCGGAACATCGCTACACATCACTTATACAACCCAAGAAGCAATCTCACCATACATTACTTATCCATACTTATCCTAACATTACTACAAGCATTGAAACCAAGTGACTGCACAGAGAGAAAGAGCTTTTGCCGTTCGGCACTGAAACGTCTTGGCTTGCTTTGCCTCAGACACGTGGATTTCCGGAGGCGATTCCTTTGTTCAGCTGGCCTGTCGCGTTCACATCGGTACCACTTTATATTTATTATCATACATTGAACTTGAATCATACAGTCGTTCAATCGTTGTATGACCAGCATCTTCACCCAGAGGGCTGGAATCATCAATCACTCATCATACGTATCACCAACCAGGCTTTCAGTGGGCGTCCGCCATGCGCACTCCCTTACTTCATGCCATCTTCCCTCAGCCGTGGCGCTTGTACTTATCGACCAGCTCCTGACAGGAAACTGGTGAGAGGATCCGTTACAAATGTCAGCCCAGTGGCTATGCCACTACTGAGCGTGTCTCGAACATGTCCCTGGAAGTATATAAGCCTCCTTGCGTAAGTACAAATGTGACGCCTGTTGCATGCGCAATGTCTATCGGGTACCACGAGGGGTGGGGTACCACGAGGGGTACCACGGCTTTTTGAGCTCTCGGACTCGAACTCTGAGTGGGTCCCTGGAACGTGATCTACTGGCATCCAGAAGTGTCTTTTTCCGGATCCACTGGCAGCCCCATCCCGGCCTTGCGCTTGGCTTGAAACTCTGCGTCTGAGAAGCCTTGCAGCAAATCACGCCTCGGAGTGTGCAGGCTCTAAACGTGGAAGCCGGGTCGCATGATTGATTTGGTTGCTTGGTTTGGATGGTTGGGCTGACCACAGACTTGAAAGCCTCTATATAGTGGTTGATCAACATTCTTTCGTCCTGGAATGGCCATTCTTCGCGGAAAAAAGATATCTTTCGCGGATCTTTCGCGGCCTCATCGCGAAGCATGGTCCTACAACCATGTCTGACTAACATGAGCCGGAACATATCATAGTATCACAAAGTAGGGACAGACATCTTGCAGCATGGCCCCAGTATAAGGTTGCACGTTTCCACAGCTACTCAGGGTCAGTTGCAGCATCTGTGCGACAATTGTGCCAAATAGAATCAGGCACAACTCAACCCAATCCTCGTGCCAGCTACCAACACAGGGTTGGGGAATGTTGGGGGGTCTCAAGCTGGGAACCTGGACTTTAGCGGCACATTCGCGAACCTTTCGCGGATCTTTCGCGAAATTTCACTGTGCAACGGCTTGGGGCCGCAAGTTGGAAGTAACCAATCGTCATTTCAATTGATAGGCCCCTTTTTGCTCTGCGCGTCGACGCTTAAGCACGCCTTCAACAGAAGGACGCATATGTTCTTTGCATGTGTCAAACCACTGCAGCAACACTTGACATCCGCCTGTTCAACCACACCAAAACGGTGAAATCGCGTCGTCACGGATTGTCCTTCTCCGTGGCCGCCAACTTTCGTCGGAGCTGCGACTTAGTCGTAGACCCCGACGAAGAGGAAGACGAAGACGACGCCTACAGAAACGGGCGCTGGGCACATCATTGAAGCTCAGAACGGTGGTTTGTTGAACTGCTGTCCGCCAACGATAGAAAGGGAGCCTCTGAATAGATTTGCGATTGGCGTGACTTAGCCACTTATCCCTTCAACACAGAGAGTGCACAGTGAAAGATAGAAGCTTTTTTTGACATTCTTGGCTTGGCCCTATGCCACCACCGAACGAAAGAGAGAGAGAGAGAGAGAGAGAGAGAGCTGGCCGAAGTCCTCCCACTAAGGATTGGAGCAATGTGAGTCCTTTTGCAAAATACTCAAGAAGTTTTCACACCCACAGTCATCCTGTTGCGCCTTGGCTGGACGCTGTGGACTCCGGCTGCGCGCGGGGCCCTGTGGCCTGGTCGCGATTCAAGATCCAACTCAGCCCCCAATGACGATGATGGAAGGAGACCGGCAGGTGCTATTTAAATACGACGTGTTCACGACCAAGGCTCGCGGTACTATCAAAAATGTGTTTGCTCAAAATTCAACGCTTCTTTTGAACCCAATCTCATTAGCACCACCGCGCACATCGAGGCGTCCCACGTCGCTTCCGGCCCTCACGCCTCCTCTGCTTTGGCTTGGCCAAAGTCGCACGCAGCCGTCGGCCCGCGTCGTCATTCCAGCACCGCAGCGGCAGACCCGCGCCCGCGCACGCGTTTGCCACCGCGGCCCGGAGGTGACCCAGCTCCAGTGGGCGGCGGGTCGGGTGGACCTGTCCGCGCGCAGAAACCTGGCCTCTATGGCCTCTTGAGCCTGGACTATATCTGGGCGCCAGCCTGCCTGGCTACCCATCCAGGGGGTTCGTCCTTCAAAAGTATCCTCTTTGTATGTTTGTTGATTTTTTTTGGGGGGGTGGCTCAGGTTGGATGTCAATTCCATAGATTTTATTCAGGTGGCGTGTGTTGAAGAAGACTTCCAACCTCCCTCCAATCACTTTCAATTTAAACTGCTGGTGCCTCGCACTATCTCCCAAATGAAGCAGTCTTGGGTAAAGTCTTGGGACCCGAGAACTGAATAAAAGAAAAAGGCACGTCGTGCTGCCATAGGCTTTTTTACAAAAACTCTGTTAGGTACTTCGCAACTCTCAATTGTCGTACTTCTGGATCTTGCGAGCAGGGTTGCAGCAGTGGATAAAGATTGTGGATTGGCATGTGGCATGCTGGCGCTTGCCACATTCTTCTCCAGAACAACCCCCGCAGCCTCCAGACAACAAGGGTAAACGCTCCATCTCCCCAATCTCTAGGAAATCCAGGAGTCTGCAAGTGATACAAAAAATCAAAATTAAGAGCAAAAACCCGCGACGGAAATGCTACGTGTTCGACCAACGATTCGACGGCGGTTACTGGCTTAGGCCTTAGGCTTGTACTTGTTGTTTTTTGATGTTGATGTCAGACCTCTCAATTTAACTTATGTTTCAATGCTGATGTTTTTTTGTTTTAAGACATTCATTCCAAACTGATCCATGTACAGACCCTTGGTCTCTGTACAACCGGGCGTGGTTCCCCGCACGCCTCCAGGGCGCCTTCTTCGAAGAGCGCCATCAGGTCTTCCGCCTTTGGCGGAAGCCAGTCCTGCAAACACAACCGGATCAGGCTGAAGAGAAGAGGTGAGAGACACCCCTTGTTTGCCTTGGGTTTTATTCGGCAACTTGCGTTTTTGAACAAGACTTCATAAATACCCGTGGCGGTTATTTGTTGAAGCGAAAGCTGTTGGGCAATCGCATGCATTGATTTCTCCCTGAGTGTTGCCATAGGGGTGGGCTCTAATTTGAACTTTTTCAGCCTTTCTCTTTTTTCGCTCTTCTCTTTCAAGAAAAAGAGACGCCTCTTTTGATCAATAAGAACACTAGAACCAGAATGTCCACTAGTTACTGGGCAGTTCTCCTCCCGAGGGGCACGGTGAAAATCATGAGTCCGAGCCGGGGTCATCACTCAGAGTCAACCTGGGTGTGTGAGAAATGTTTTCAGGTCGTTGAGGTGGTTGATCTCGAGCCTGGAGATTGTATTGTACAAGGCCTCGCGCTTGTGAAAACTGGTGCGCGAAAAATTTCACTATTTCCCAATCCCCCACGATGTGGAGCGAAGCGGGCGTTGGTTCGACCGCGAGGGTTCGGGTTCGTCCTCCACCGCTTGCACTGGGGCGGCAGCCCGCGAAGGCGTCGTGGCGTGAGGGCCCCCGCCCTGAGCACCAGGGTGGCCGCCTCTGGGGTCACCCACGCCTGAAACCCACCCTGAAACTCCATACGCTGCGGGCCAGGCAAAACTGCGGGCACTGAAACACACCTTCCCCAATAAGGGTCACTGGGTCTGGGACGGTCAAGTTCACCAACAAAATGAAATAGCTTCTCTGAAGATGTAAAGCAGCCCGGAGCGCACCTGGAACCACGCAGGCCGAGCCGCTCCTGGAATCCTGCAAACGTAGCTGCGAGCAGGTATGGGGTATACAGGGTAGGAAATGTCTTTGTGGTTCACTGGGTCTGTGATGGTGGTCAAGTTCACCAACGGGCTGCAACCGTAAAGGCGTTCCCAACGGGGGGCCCGTCAGTCTTGCATGGTCGGGTTCACCGACAACCTGCAACCCTAAGACACCAACAAGCTGCAACCCAGAAAGGCGTCATCCCAATACCAACAAGCTGCTACCCTAAAAAGCGCCATCCCACTGTCGGTCACTGACCAGTCAAGTTCACCAACGAGCTGCAACCCTCAAGGAACAGGTCTTGAAATAACCTGAGGTCATTGATTTCCCGATACTTCGGTGGTCAAGGCACTTGGAGTGGTTCCGTCTCTCTGCCTTGTCTTCGGGGGGTGGAAACTTATACAACGAACTCTGTATGTATACATATATATATATATTTCCAATATTTTTAACACAAAAATGTCTAGTAAAGAATGGCTTGTCCAGCCGAGTGACCCTTAAAAAATAGTCATTCCTCCACCGAACCGATCGGCTTCTGCCCGGAAGGCAGAGCCGCCTGAGGTTTCCCACGCCAAATGGTCTGGCCCGCTAACGGGGGGTGCACAACTCCCCCTCCGCCTGGGCATCGCTGTCGCTTCCTCGGTCGCGGGGTTTTTGTTAACCCAGCGGGGGCCCTCCCCGCGACCTCCACGACAGCGATGGGGCTTCTTGGGTTTGGCCCTTCCCTTTGGCAACGCGGCAATCGCCCTGGAACCTTCCTAGGCTGTGGTTTTGATGTCTTTCAGATGTTGCCGGACTTGGCCATTGCGCCCAAAGCTTCAAACACTCACACTTGCCTAAGGCCGGACGCGCATCAAGGCGCAGAGAGACGCAGTTGTTTTCTCGGCAGCTTCAAGCAGGCCAACACCAAATTGAAGCTCAATGCAACAACCTTGACACGTTGTGGCCCTTCCAAAACAAAAACAAATCTAACAGTTCAAAGCTCAAAGATGAAACAGTGTTGCATGAAAATGCAACAATATGCGAAAAGTGAATGGAGCCACAAGCAGCAGGGGACGCACTCAGAGGCCCAAGGGGGACAACAGGCAAAGGAAGTTGCAGCAAGGCAAAGGACAATTCAAACACAAGCCCCAAACAGGCAAACCCAAAAAGCCGGCACTTCTTCTGATTGTGCTGATTGCACATCTACGCAGGCAGACTAGAAGAAGAGTCCAGAAAAACCAAAGTTGCCTGTTGCTTTTTTCCGATACGCGCCAGTTGCTCAGCTTACACACCGCTTTGAGCCATGCCTAACTTCCATGAAGGCAAGCTCCATGAAACAGAAACAAGAAATCGGTCCAACAAATCCTGTCTTTCGATCTTTGAGGCGCAACTGTTTTAATGGGGTATGATTCGAGGGTAAGATTCACTCTATGATTCGGGGGTAGAGTTCCCGTAGATTAAACATCCCTTGCTTATTCAAAAGTGGTGACCTCAAACACGTACCCGAATTAGTAGTGGTACTAGTGGTCGTCAAAGTAGTAGTCGCACTCGTCGTCGTCGTCGTCGTCGGCGTCGGCGTCGGCGTCGGCGTCGGCGTCGGCGTCGGCGTCGGCGTCGGCGTCGGCGTCG